AAGAAGGAGAAGGAGAAGGAGAAGGAGAAGGAGAAGGAGAAGGAGAAGGAGAAGAGGAAGGAGAAGGAGGAGGAGGAGAAGGAGGAGGAGGAGGAGAAGGGGGAGGAGGAGGAGGAGGAGGAGGAGGAGAAGGAGAAGAACACTAAACCTGCTTTTCAATTACTGCTGCAAACACACAATTGCTTTTGCTTTTTGTTTTTTCCTTGCTCTGGTATCCTTAGGATGTCAAGGGGAGAGGCAAATTTCGACCATCTGTTTCTCTCCTCCTTTCTTTAGCAGTTTTTTTTATCCGTTACCGGCTTGCTTGGCCTGTCGTAACTTCACAAGTGCCCCGTTGGCCAGCGACGTTTCAGAGTGACCCAGGTTGGCCTTCACAGCTAGCGTAGCGCCTCCATGGCATAAAGCCACACTGCACTTCACCCAAACCCAGCAATCCCCTACTTTGTCCTGACACACAATTAAAGAATGAAAAACTGACCTACAACTTTTACTCTTTGTAAGAGTTTGCACAATAACGTGGTAAGCTGAGAGGAATTGGACATAAAGGTGCGAGATGACAATGTATAGATGCGACAAAATGAGGAAATACACAGTCGGAAGAAAATGGCAGTCGTTATAGGTACATTTTGCAAATACAAGAACCGTGGGCTAAAAATGCAGCAGAGTCCGTCTCTCAGTTGCAAGACAAACCAACCATGAACGATACTGCTTACGAGAGATCTGAAACTTTAAAACCAGTAAAGACAAAGCCGTTCACAGCGGTCTGTCCTTATCTTTGTTATTGCTTTAGTTATTGGGTTTGTTGTTAATCTTTTTTTTATTAATTGTATTACTTTATCTGTCTATCTACTCAACACACTCTCTCTCAATCTATCTATCTATCTCTCTATCTATCTATCTATCTCTCTATCTATCTATCTATCTATCTATCTATCTATCTATCTATCTATCTATCTATCTCCCTCACTCACACACACACACACACACACACACACACGCACACACGCACACACGCACACACGCACACACACACACACATACAACCAGACACATACTAACATACTCATAAACTCACCCATACACATACACAGACTAAAACCCACTTTTGTAAATTATGTTACCTGTGTTTTTAACCTGGCGTCGACTCAGTTTGGATCATTTTGGAGGCGAGCTTCCGACCTTGCCTGCCAGAGCCAATCCGGGCTGAAAGGGGCACAACATCTCAGCAGAAAGACAGACACTCGATAAAAATCCACCCCACTGGGGAATCAAACTCTGATCTCCAGTCTGCGACAGCGAAGCGCCAGACCTCTACACCAAAGACGCCAGTCATACACTTGCTTACACACGATTAATGCATGATGGCAACGTCAGCAACACACTATACTTATACTTGTAAACACACAACTCTCTCTCTCTCTCTCTCTCTCTCTCTCTCTCTCTCTCTCTCTCTCTCTCTCTCTCTCTCTCTCCCACTCCAAGTAACACACCCCCACGCTAATGTGAGCGCATATCAACCACCAAACTTTTGCGCAGTATCTTTTTCACCCCCCCCCCCCCCCCCCCCAGCCTTCGTTTCAGTTCCTCACCCAAAAAAGCCGGAGTACTTCTTTATCTGAGTAAATTGATCATAAATGAGTGAACAAAAGTATGGTGGGATAAATGAGGATTACGAAAAAATACACAAGTGAGATACAGATGGGAATGTGCTGCCAAAGGGGAGAATGGCTTCTGAATACTGTATTCTAATGAGAAAAGTAATCTCTTATAAAAAAAAGACCAGACTCCGACCACACGTACTGTATCGATTACTTCGGCAACTGAGATAACTGATCTCAGACCATAAATTTGATCATCTCCATCTCTTCCTTCCCCCCTACTTTTCCACTATCTAGACACTCAAATTGCCCCTCTTGTTCGTTGATTGACGATCCTGGGTACACGAAATGACCCGGGAAACGAGAAGATCCACGGTTCTTGCGCGCCTGGCTAGCTCTGTCCGGCTGATGAGGGGGAACAGAAATTCCGAAGCATCGTTGTCGAGGTCCATGTCCATACGGAGTGATTTAGGGACAGGGGAGGAAGAAAACATATCACAGACACTATAGGTTCTATACACTCTCCAGGATCGACGGATTTTTAACTCCATGAGGACGAGTATTCTTTCTGGTCTTTAAAGACCCGCTTTTTTTTCGGCAAGGTAAAAAAAGAAGCATAATAACTTCATTGTTCATTAACATTTGTTCAATTCAGTTTCAAAATACCAGAAACTATAAAAGGGGGGCAACAACATACACACTATGACAAATGTAATCATATATAGATAGATAGATAGATAGATAGATAGATAGATGTATAGAAATACAAAAGAAGCCAACACAGAACCAGACGCCCTAAATGAATTACTCTTCGCTGATGACCAAAGCCTGGCACACAAAGATGAACGAAGTCTCCGCCACACCACCAGATTAAACGAAGAATGTAACAACTACGACATGAAGATCAACATCAACAAAACAAAGACAATGAAAGTAAGCAGAAAGCCACAACCACTCAGGATACACATCAACAACAACAGTCTCAGATAGGTCCAAGAATTTAAGTATCTCGGAAGTATATTCACAGAGGATGGACGACTAAACAGAGAAATTGAAACACGAGTACGAAAGGCAAATAATGTTAGTTACCAGCTTACTCCACTACTGAAACATCCTAACATCCCCAAGACAACAAAACTCAAAATGATCTACACCATATTCATCCCAACACTCACTTATCAATGCCAAACATGGACCCCGAACAAGACATTAGAGCAAAGAATTACAACATGTGAAATGCGATGCCTAAGAAAAGCAGTAAAAAAGACCAGCAAGACAAACTTAGAAACTCAGTAATCCGAGAAATGGAGAAATGGTGGGCACAAATTAAATGATGTCATTCATCACATCCAACCTCAAAGAATCAAATGGTTCGGACATCATCCAGCTCAACGTGCC